TGGTGGGCAAACAGTATATTTACCTTTTGCGGAAAAATGTTGCCCACAGCCAACAAAATGATTTAGAGCTTTTATTTAATTTGCAGCGAATGGACGACCCATATAAAAAGGAATTTAAAAATTCTAATTTTTGGTCAAAATGTGTACAGTACCATTTTGTATATACTGTCCAAATTATTTAAATTGCTTTGTATTCTTGTAAAAAAGAATATAGAGAATAATTTAAAGAGATTTTTCATCGATTATGGATTTTATTTTTCAGAAAAAAATTACTGTTTTCGGTTGATATTAGTTAGGTTGGGGAAAAATAAATCCATTATTTTTTCGGCAGATGGCTGTACTGATATATTTCTCATAAAGTATCGATCAAACAATTTCAGATTTATGCTCGTTGGAAGGTTGACATTTCGCAGTAAAAAAATTATTTTGCTGTTTTTTGTTTGGTACATTCAGTTGTGAGTTACAGGTTGTTAAAAATGGAAGTAAACAAACAGAAAATTTTGTACCTTTTACAGTTTTTGAAAAGGGCGAAAATGTAAGCCAAGTTGTGAGTTACAGGTTGTTAAAAATGGAAGTAAACAAACAGAAAATTTTGTACCTTTTACAGTTTTTGAAAAGGGCGAAAATGTAAGCCAAGCGGCTAAAATTTTGAATGGTGTCCTGATTTATATCTTTTGAACTTGCTTTATTCGTCTATACAAGGCAAGTCGATTTCAAAAATATTTTTTTTTTTACATTTTGTGACAATGTTCTGGATTGGTATTTCAAATTACTGACACTACAAACAAAATACACAAAACGAATTGAAAGAAAATTGCCGGTACTCTCCTTCAAACAAAGACTTGCCGCAATTAAACTCGGCTAATATAAATTGGGACTAACAACGTTACTTAAAATCCGACAGGGCGTACAAAAATATTCAACTTCACCACTATGGCAAAATGTTGTGAACGACCGTATTACCCAAATACGTCGAATCCATATCTTCCAGCGAATAATACAAACCGCAAAATTAAATTGAAAATTTATTAAATTAATCCACATATTTTTAGTTTCCATTCGAAATTTCAAATTTCCTGAATGTTTTGTTTTTATTTTCAACAAAAGAAAAAAATGAAAAATACGTTCTGTCAAAGTTGAAATTTTTCAACTTGAAATTTTGTACGTTCGACGTATTTCGGTAACATTCATATAAATACATGTGTTCTACTTTTGTAGTGAAAAACGTCGAACGAGCTAGTTGAATTTTAGGTAAGGCTGTAATGGTTCCAATACAGTAAGAGCCAATTATGTGCAATTTTGGTTTCGTAGGATGGCATAATTACAGAAGGTAGTCTCACTTGAGAAATTAATAATGGTAACCTTTTAATTTCGAACTCATCTATCAATTTCAAATTGTTTGAAAAATAAATTCCTTAAAATTGTATGTATCCAATCGACATGCATACATATTTTTAAAAAATTTAAAATGTATACTTTTTAAAGATTTTAAGTAATAAATATCTCAATTTTTTAATCAACATTGTTTTTAAAATATGACTATAGATGTTACAACTTATATTTATAGATTTTAGAGGTTGGGAACATCAAGATATTAAACATTTTGTAATTTTTGTAATTATTGCCACCGTGTTTTGCGTACATTTCGAAGGAGGTTATTTTCATTTAAATTTTGAAAGCTGAATGTTGTCAAAAGTAAAATTATGAAAAAATTGGAATCATATGTCTGCATGAGACCACCTTGTGTAATTATTTCGTAGATTCCGTTCAAGATTTTTTTATGTTAAAGATGCACCTCGCAGAGGCAGGCCGGTCGTCGAAAATGTCGATAAAATTGGAGAAATGATCGAAGTTGACTGGCATGTTAGCAGTCGTAACATCGTTTATAATGGATTTATTTTCCCCCTACCTAATACAATAATTCTTTCTGGAATATGCGGATAAAACAGTCAATTCTTTCTGAAAGCCAGAAAATAAAGGATGTAACGAAGCCATTTATATCATTTTTTTTTTATTTTTGACAGGTATTTTGGGTAGCAATAGAATGGATTTTTATATCAAAATTTCAATAATTTTTTTAATTTAAAACAGGGTAATCTAATTTTATCAGCATTTCTCGTGTGCACTAACAGTGTAAACAAAATTTGGCGCTCAAAATGCCATCACTTATCACAAAACAGATGTCAAACTATTTCGAATTTGGCGTGTGTTTTGATGTAAAGCAATTTTTTGCGACATCCTTCATTCTTGATCAGTTACTTATAAAGAGATCCTTGAAGGATACAGATTGAGTCGTGTTGTTATTGTTAGATTGTTCATAAAAATATTTTGTTGATTTTTTTGGGAGTTGCGTTTGTTTTTTGCTAAAACATGGATATTGCTGATGCCAATGTTGGTCAATTGCGCGTTAAAGATGAAGTGGGCATTAGATGTCAGAAGTTATTCCAGGATTTCCTTGAGGAGTAAGTAAAGAAGAAACGATAGTCTGAAGATGTATTTTATAATTTATTTATTTGTGTTTTAGATTCAAAGAAGATGGAGAAATAAAATATGTTAAACCGGCTGGAGATTTGGAATCACCGGATCGCTGTACTCTGGAAGTCAGTTTCGATGATGTGGAAAAATATAATCAAAATTTGGCCACAACCATTATTGAGGAATATTATAGGTATGTTTTTATTTGGATTTGTGTAAATAGTTTGAAGAATGAAATTAAAGGGATATCTTTGCAGAATTTATCCATATCTGTGCCAATCTGTATCCAACTTTGTAAAGGATCGCATTGGTCTAAAAACTGAAAAAGAATGTTATGTATCATTTACTGAGGTGCCAACACGCCACAAAGTGCGTGATATGACCACCTCTAAAATTGGAACGTTAATTCGTATTTCCGGCCAGGTGGTACGCACACATCCTGTCCATCCCGAACTGGTTTTGGGTACATTTATGTGTTTGGATTGTCAAACGGAGATACGCAATGTGGAACAACAATTCAAGTTTACCAATCCGACAATTTGTCGCAACCCGGTGTGTTCAAATCGTCGTCGTTTTATGTTGGATGTTGAGAAGTCTTTGTTTGTGGATTTCCAAAAGATTCGCATACAAGAAACTCAATCTGAATTGCCCAGAGGTTGTATACCACGTTCTGTGGAAATTATCTTACGTTCTGAATTGGTGGAGACGGTACAGGCTGGTGATCGTTATGATTTTACGGGAACGCTGATTGTCGTTCCGGATGTTGGTGTCTTAAATATGCCTGGAGCCAAGGCAGATCAGGGATCACGCCACAAGGCGGGTGAGGGTCCTGAAGGTCTTACAGGCTTAAAGGCTTTGGGTATGCGTGAACTCAATTACCGCATGGCCTTCTTGGCTTGCAGTGTCCAGGCTACAAATGTACGTTTTGGTGGTACTGATTTGCCCATGTCTGAGGTCACAGCCGAAGATATGAAGAAACAAATGACAGATGCTGAGTGGAATAAAGTTTACGAAATGTCCAAGGATCGTAATTTGTATAATAATCTCATATCGAGTTTGTTCCCCTCAATTTATGGCAATGATGAAGTGAAGCGTGGAATTCTACTGCAGTTATTTGGTGGTGTGGGTAAAACCACACATGAAAGTAAGTTTCAATATTTTCTTTATACAATTTTAAATATTTACAAATTATTTTATTTTACAGAAACAACTTTGCGTGGTGACATTAATGTGTGTATTGTGGGTGATCCCAGTACGGCCAAATCACAATTCCTTAAACAAGTGGCCGATTTCTCGCCCCGTGCTGTCTATACCTCTGGCAAAGCTTCATCAGCAGCTGGTCTTACAGCCGCTGTGGTCAGAGATGAGGAAAGTTTTGATTTTGTCATTGAAGCCGGTGCTCTTATGTTGGCTGACAATGGCATTTGCTGCATTGATGAATTCGACAAAATGGATCCCCGTGATCAGGTGGCCATTCACGAAGCCATGGAACAGCAAACCATTTCACTGGCCAAAGCTGGTGTCAGAGCTACTCTTAATGCTCGTACTTCCATTTTGGCTGCTGCCAATCCCATCAATGGCCGCTACGATCGTTCCAAAAGTCTGCAACAAAATATCCAGCTTTCAGCTCCCATTATGTCCAGATTCGATTTGTTCTTTATTTTGGTTGATGAATGCAACGAAGTGGTGGATTATGCCATTGCCCGGAAAATTGTTGATCTCCATTCCAACATTGAGGATAATGTAGAGAGAGCATATACCAGGGAAGAGGTATTACGTTATATTACATTTGCTCGGCAATTTAAACCCATCATTAGCAAGGAAGCAGGGGCCTTACTCGTCGAGAACTATGGTCATTTGCGTCAACGAGATACTGGTACTGCTGGTCGCAGTACATGGCGTATAACAGTACGTCAGCTGGAATCAATGATACGTTTGAGTGAGGCCATGGCCAAATTGGAATGTATGAATGAGGTACAAGAACGTCATGTCAAGGAAGCTTTCCGTTTGCTTAACAAATCCATTATCCGTGTTGAACAACCCGACATTCATTTGGATGATGATGATGTCGATGAGGCATTTACCGGTGATGTGGATATGGAACAAAATGGTGGTGGTAATGGTGTAACCGAGGAAGTCGAAACAGCAGATCCTGAAGCTGATGCCAATGGTACTGGTCAAGTTCAAAAGAAAAAACTTACCCTTTCCTTCGAAGATTACAAAAATCTATCCACCATGTTGGTGTTGCACATGCGTAACGAGGAGGCACGTTGTGAAGTTGAAGGCACCGATTCGGGCATGAAACGAAGTGATGTGGTTACATGGTATTTGGAACAAGTAGCCGATCAAATTGAATCCGAAGATGAATTGATTTCTCGCAAGAATCTTATCGAAAAGGTTATCGATCGTCTTATTTATCATGATCAGGTTATTATACCGCTTAAGACTACCGAACTGAAACAGGCTGGTAAAAGTCCTAAACGCACCGAAGAAGATGAGGATGAAGATGATCCTCTATTGGTGGTACATCCTAATTATATTATAGAATAAGAGAATTGTAATATATTTTTTGTTTATTCACTTTTGTTAAGAGATCATATTTTTTATAAAAAAGAGAGCGAATATAACCACTTCATCAAAATTTGTTTTTCCATAAATTGACATTTTAGTTTTTTAAGAGTTAAGCTGTAGTCTATAAGCCATGCAAACATTTTTTATATAAACACAAACCCATTTGCAAAATAAAAAGAAACATCAATACATTTTGTTAGAAATCAAAAAAAAAATATATATATATATATATGTTTACCTTCAGTTTCCCCGATTTGTGTTGGATACTGATTAGTAGAGTAGTGGGTAAAGTTTTGTATTTTTGAAACATAGGCCTAGAGAGGCCGGCATATGCTTGTTTAAATTATATATTCAATCCCTTTATTACAGTTAGAGTTTTTGAAACTGTTCCTCGTTTTGGAAAAGTCCCTATATAGAACGCATTCACACGCTGTGAAACGAATTTAATGAACAATCACATACGGCCAGAAATTATGAACAAAATTGATCGGGAAATCACCAGACCCAGGTTTGGTTAAAACATGTTCAGCCACCAGTTGTCTAGCAGTTGATTTCACATCCACACCTTTGGTCCATTGTGCTCATCCTAAGTACCTGAAATGAAGCAAATAAAAAAGAGGAAAAAAGAAAGATAGTGGAAGTAGAAGAAAAAGTTAAATATTTTAGACTTTGTTTGACAAAGCTCAGTATTTTTTATGGGTTCTATTCCGGAGAAGAATGCTTAAGTATCCATTTCATATACACCAATTCTTTTGCTGCCTAGCGCTTGGCATCCATAAAGTATATGTTCCATTGTTTCCAGCGCGTCCTCAACCTCACATAATCCAATAAAAATCCATTCCATTGATGCCCCATATTCTCAATATTGAGATGTGAGGGATTTAAACCTGCAGTGACTTGTTGTGATCCCAACATCACACCTTATTTTGATCTCCTTTTTTCTCTGGGACAGCAAGGACGTAGTTTTATCTCATTTAACTTAGGATCAGCTTTGAAAGGTCTCGCCAATTAAATAGCCGATGGTCGTAGATGTCCATCTATCAGTAGATCGGACGACTGTGATGCCCTCGAGCAAGTTCATTAGCTATTTCATCCCCATTTGCTTTACTATGTCTCAGAACCCAACAAAGATTTACGACTATGTCATGCAGAGCAACTTTACCGTATAAATAAACGATTTTTAATTGATAGTGTGCTAATAGTATGCCGAAAGGACCACCTGGCTTTCGTTATATAGTCGACTATTTCAACCGCTTTCTTGATTGCTAATATTTCTGTTTAATGTATATAATAATGTTTATTATTGCAGTAAAAAACTGTACCAGTACCTTCTTCCAAATTAGACCCGTCTGAATATATTTCAGACCGCCTGAGATAAGGAGCCTATTGTCCAGGATTAACTGTTTAGCTCATAAATGTGATTATGGAGATGTATATAATCACTGATGTGGCTAGGTTAGGGTTAGCTTTGGGGATGTGCTGTCACTAATGTGGCTGCAGCACTCTGAGACCGTTCGGTCCATTTTGTTCATCCATGAAAGGTATGGAGAGATCTGTAGGGAGAAAGGGGGATAGAAAAGATAAGAAGCTAACAAGAAATATTAGGAGGTAGGTGGGAAATAGTTTCGATGGCTATAGAAATTGGACAGAAAACATAACTACGTGCTAAGGTTGCATTTTCCCAACCACTTTAGGTTTCTAATGATGCTGTAGATTAAAACAGGTTCCATAGTTGAAAAGAACTTGGACACGGTGGATAGTCTGTACCGTCTGTAGGCCAGGACTGGACAGCGACACAGGAGATGCTCAATTGTTTCCGTCTCCTCGTCGTCAACACAGAGTCTGCAATAATCAGTAACATCATTGTCCCATTTACTGGTAAAGGCCTGATATTGCAATAACCAATAATGACTCCTGTCATTACTCTAATTTCAGCTTTGGTCGGGTTCAACAGTGAGTGTGTTCCCTTGGTTGACAGAGTCGGGCAGATAGATATTGACACATTGCACCTAGGTTCGATGTGCCAGAATTCATTGGCTCGTCCGTCGAAGAACGCCTCAAAGTTCCGAAAAATATGACAGATGGGTGGTTTGATTGAGTCATCGATTGCTAGATCTGTAGATTGAGATCCTCGTTTAGCTAATTCGTCTGCCTTTTCATTGCCCATGATGTCACGGAGTCGTGGCATCCAACACAACCGATAGCTGTAAGTAAGTGTTTCCAAAACTGGTCTACACTCGAGGACGACCTCAGGTTTGATATTACAGGACTTGATGACTTTAAATGGGCCTGATTATACACAAATATAGTCACCGGTTCAACGATCTCTGCATCCAGACTTTTTTATCAATTCCTCTGCCTTTCAAATAGCGAAGATTTAAGCTTGGAAAACATTACAGTTGCTATCCAGCTTGTAGGTATAGCCTTTCACAGTAGACGCCAGCCCCTGTGCCTTCTTCCATCTTGGATCCATCTGTACAAAAAGCCAGACCGCCCAGAGGAGGGTTGCTACGGTTCCAGTCGTCTCTACTAGGGATAACGAAATCTACACCGTCAAATCTCAGGACTGGTGATATATAGTCGCTTTATTTTACGCCTTGGTACAATGTCATACCTAGTTCGTACAAGATACATCCATGCCATATATTTTATTCATGCGGCCTTAGGGCACTACGCGCTACCTGACACTTAATGCTGAGACCGAGAGGCCTTATGTTCAGCACTGCGTTCAGAGTTGCTTGTGGGGTGCTCTTCGCGGCTCCAGTTACTAGAATCGAGGCGGCTCTTTGTACCTTGTATAGTTTGCTGGAAGTCGACTTGTGGCGCAAGCAGTACCACCAAACAAGAGAACCATAGGAAAGGATGGACTTTACCACTGTGTTATACAACCAGTGTATAGTCGATGGTTTTATCGGTCCACATTTAGCCTCCCATATAATGGTATTTCCAGATTTTCTAAATATTTAAAACACTTAGCGTGAAGTCAAGGATCGAGATACAAAACATAAAGGTTAGGTTTGAAATATCGGCCCACATTTAGGTATAGTCCTTCGGTATTTCCTGCCAGATGTAATCAATATTAGTCCATCTGTTGGTATATCTCTTTATATTATGATCCCGCTCATTATTACATCAGAACTCGCAACAGTCAAATGTCAATACCCTATGGTGGACTTTTTAGGAAAAGGTACCAAGAAAAGTGTTTGCATAGCTTCACTTAGTTGTGAAGCATATTTTTAGGAAGTGTAAGCATATTTTTTAGGAAGCGTTTAATATATACACGACTTTGATATGTTGGATTGCATTCACATCAACATTGGTTGTTAGTGCCTCTCTACAATTGGTCTCTAGACAAATACACAAATCATAAGTTCATATAATCACGTTGCTGTTAGCCGAAGTTATCCTTACATTGATATTTATGTATAGGGTTAGATATAGATGAAAGGAAAAGAGAAGTGTGGTATCTTTGCTCCGATACCGACAAATGCTAAAACATCGCTAGAAAGTTTTAAATTGTGGTCCAAAGGATTATGTACAGTTGGGCCTTCAATAATATTTAATCTGTTCTAGAACCTGCAAGAATATTCTATTTATGGAAATCGTTATAAATTTTTGTTTTAAAAATTTGTCCTGTTTTTGTTTATTGAAATAAAAAAACAAACCAAGTTTTCTTTTTGTTTTGTAAAGATTTTATTTATATTTGTGTTGCGTATAAAAAAGATGAATTGGTGATTCTAATGATAATTTCCAAATCTACTTTACAGATTTTTAGAAACAAATAAATCAAAAGAAACCTTCCAAACGTATGTGTATAATTAATGTGCAGAGAAACTGAAAAAATAATGACTTATATTTAAAATACATACATATATAAAAAATATAAAATAGACTTCATCTTTTGAAAACCCTATTTATTCTTTTTGTATAACATAACAATTTAGATGGAAATTGTGACATGACCAAGGTGCATAGATGACATGTAAAGGTGCATAGGAAATGCTGTGAGAGGAAGTAATTTTGTAAACACCTGGACTGAAAATGCTTAACTTTCGTCATCTTCAATTTTAGGCGCCAAATAATAACGCACATGACCCAAATCTTGAATACGATATTCAACCACCAATGGAACATCTGCAGACATGGACAACTGTACTTGGCCGGACAAAGGTGTGGCCTTGGTAAAGGCATTCAGGTAACGACAGGCGAATGTAAGGGTGACGGGTTCCTGCATTTCAATGATGACAGCTTCTTCTTCTTTGTCCACGCTTGATGTTTGTGCCAATTTAACATTAGCCGAACCAACATCACCAGATGCAGAGAATTTCACACCTTCCTTGGTGCAACAGATTACCATGGATTCACTGAATTGTGCCAAATCTCTGCAAATGCGTGCAAATTCAATCGAAGGCATACGTACAACGCATGAGTATTCTGTTTCTGGAATGCCCAAATGTTCTTGATCGAGATTCATAAGTTTCATTTCGTAGTCGGAGACTTTTTCATGATTTGGCGATTCAAACATAAAGGTGACAGTGTCGGCATTATCTTGGGCCTTGATGGTAACTGTATCATCGTTGTTGGCACACTTTAAGATTTTTGCCATGCTGCTCAAATTCATGCCCATCGAAATGTTACGATCACAACGGAATTTGTCAAAGCCATCCGAACGCAATGTCATTGAAACCAATGATACGTGGGAATTGTCCATAGCCTGGAGCTGTTATGGAAACAACAAACAAGTTATAAACTTTCCATTTTCCTTTATGAATGACATTTATTTCATCTTACCTGTATTCCCGAATCACTGCAGTCAAAGGTTCCCTCATTTAGCAAGTCTTTGATGGCATCCAAGATTTTCTTGAGAATGGTAGCACTAATTAAACGGGCTTCGAACATCTTGGAGTTTTATTTGTATATTCTTTTTGCAAAAAATAAACACTAAAATTTCGAAATAATGTATTTCAATTTCTCCACACACGAACACAAATCCT